TCTTTTTATGTTTCCTTATCTTTCCTTTCTCTTTTCTTTCTCATGTTACCTTATCTTTTTTTCCTTATTCTTTCTCATGTGACCTTTCCTTTTCTTTCTTATGTTTCCTTCTTTTTTTTCCTCCTCCTTCTCATGTTACCTCATCTTTTGTTCCTTATTCTTTCTCATTTTACCTTTTTTTTCTTTATGTTACCTTATCCATTCCTTTTTATTATATTTCTTAAGTTTTCTGTACATTTCCTTTTCTTTTCTTACAGAAAAAATTACTAGACCTTAAGTTTCCAATCCTTTCAATCATATCCTTTCAGTTTCCTTACCTATTCATTCTAGTTACAAAGAAGTATCATCATGACTTTTGCTTACTCCTTATTTCCTAACTACTTACCATCTAAAGTTGGAAGGCATCTCTTAGTAGATGTGATTTCAGAGACAATTTGAAAGTATTTATTGACTCACAAGATCTAATTGTCAAAGGCAGATTGTTCCACAAGCGTGGAGCAGCAACAGAAAAAGCTCTGTCTCCCCAGGAATTGTGTGATTTGGGCTGATGCAGGAGGAGTTGATTGGAAAATGTAAGTTACATTTAGGAGCATACCAATGGAGTATATCTGCAATGTAAGTCTGGAACCAAGTCATTTTTGAATTTAAAGACGATCAGCAAAATTTTGTAAATAATCCGGTGCGTTAGAGGAAGCCAGTGTAAATCTTTCAGAATGTTGGTAATATGTGCATATTTAGAAGTTTTAGTGATTAGACGTGCAGCTGAATTTTGAATTAATTGAAGACGGTGTTAATGTCCATATAGCAGGGAGTTACCCATGTCAAGACGGGAGGTGACAAATGAGTGCACAAGTTGTTCGGCCGCTGTTTTGTCAATGTATTTTCTAATACTACGAATGTTGCGTATATGGAAAGATGAAGTGGAGGTAATTAGAGATGTGATTATTCATTGTCAAAGTAGCATCCATGATAGTAACCCCAAGGTTCCTAACAAGCGGTGAGGTGTAAATTTGAGATTCTCCAATGGTGAGGTAATTTTGTGGAAGTTTTTCATGCTGTCGATGTGAACCAATTAAAATACAGTATATTCTGTCTTTTCATCATTAAGTTTAAGGAAGTTTTGTTTCATCCACCTACGCAACTCAGAAATGCAATTTTCAAGAGATTCAAGAGAAATATGACTTTGTATAATTGTAGGCTTAAATGAAAGGTAAATCTGTGTATCATCAGCATACACATGATAAGATAGATTATATCTACTAATGATATCTGGGATTGGGTATATGTATATAGTAAACAACTGGGGTTCGAGGACAGATCCCTGTGGTACAGAATGATTCAAGAAGACCGGTTCAGAAACGGCTTCTCCCACACATACATGTTGAGGCCTATGAGACAAGTACGACCGGCACCATTCCAATGCGCGGCCTTTAACACCAATATACTTACTAAGTCTAGCAAGCAAAATACTATGGTCAACAGTATCGAACGCAGCACTCAAATCCAATAGCACTAGAGCAGTGAGTTTCCCCTCATCCATAGCATGCAGGATGTCATTGTGAACACAAAGTAAGGCGGTTTCCGTGCTGTGGTGTGCTCTATATGCAGACTGCAATGGGTCAAGCAGAGCGTGTGTTTGAATGTGTGCCAATAATCTTGTTGATGCAACTCTATCTATTGTCCTCCCTAGGAAACTTAAATTTGAAATAGGCCTATAATTATTCAGAACTTCAGGATCAAGGTTGGATTTCTTCAGTGTAGGATGAATATGTGCAATCTTAAAAGCAGCAGGAAAACAACCACATTCCAAAGACTTATTGACTATATTAGTGATGAATAGAACAAAGACATGGATACATTTTCTGATCGAGGAAACTGGTACAGGGTCAAGTTCACAGGATTTAGGTGGTGAATTTTTAATAAGGTCAGATATCTCTTCCTCACTTGCAGGTTCAAACTCCTTGAACAGTGTGGGCAAGAACCGGTATTGTCCTGAGAGTTATCCTGGACCAAAGTATCCCGGATTTTCCGAACTTTGTCAACAAAAAAGACAGAAAACCTCTAAACAAGATCTATGTCAGAAACAGTAAATGGAAGAACTGATGACTTTGAGCGGTGTAGAAGGTCATTTAAAACCTTGAACAGTTTCTTCTGATCACCTGAACAGTCTTTAACAAGAACAGAATAGTACTCTGTTTTTGCCTGTTCAATAAGATTAGTAACCAAACATCTTTGATTGCAGTATTTTTGCCTGTCAAAATGAGCCCTTGATTTCATCCATTTCCTTTCAAGTTGACGGCGGATTTTCCGTGCAGAGCGTATCTCATCCGTAAACCAGGACTTAGATGACTTAAGTTTGATGATTTTTGCTTTTACTGGTGCATACCGATCAAGAACTAGTCTCAAATCAGTAAAATTCTTAGCACAAGTATCTATATCACAGTCAACAGAGAAGGTATTCAAAAGATGAGCCTGAATATCATTTTCAAATGCAATCATATCAACTCGTCTGAGATCACGTCTCTTAACAAGAATTGTTTGTATTGGAGGTTTTTTTAAATTAAGCTTGCAAATAATTGCAAAATGATCTGAAAGACCGGGGTGGATGTGTAATTCAGACAGCAATGAAAGATCTCGAGTGATCAAAAGATCAAGGCAGTGCCCACCACAATGTGAGGCCTCATTTACATGCTGCAAAAAACCAAAGGACGTCAGTAGTGTTTTGAAATTATTTGCTGCCATGTCATTATCATCATCCATGTGAATGTTAAAATCGCCACAGAAGACAACCTCAGATGGATGCAAAAGATATTCAGCAACCATCCTTTCAAAAGCACTAAGAAATTCAGCAATGGACAATGCAGGTCGTGGTCGATAAATGTTGACAAGGCGAACTGACTTAGAATTAGCTGTGACCCCTGTGTGTATAGCTTCAAAAGAATTATATTGCCTAACATCTATTTGAAATTTCACAGTTAAACAAGATCTAAAAAGAATGCCAACACCACCCCCTATTCTATCTGCCCTAGGAATAGGCCTATGCCTGTATAGCTATATCCAGTTGGGGTTAAATTGCCAACCACCATGTCGTCATCTGGTCTCAGCCATGTCTCGGACACTGCCACAATATCAAGGTTGTGGTCAACGACAAAGTCGACAAAATCATGAGATTTGTTACGCAGTGACCGTGCATTAAGTATGCTAAAAGAAATAAGTGACTTTAATGCCAAAGTTTTATTTACACATTTATGTGAATGGGGCTCTTGAAGGGAGAAACAGTTTGCTTGGATTTGACTCATCGGCCTGCTCTACACCCACGGCTTGGCCGTAGGATATGTAACTCCTAATAATCCGCTCATAAGCACTAGGAGTTAACCTGGCTTTATGGCTACAGTTCAGAGAGAATAATAATTTCCTATTATATTTAATGATCGACTTGTTAGGCTTAGGCCTAGATCTACCTATAGTGCTAGGCCTAGATCTACCTATTGTGCTAGGCCTAGGCCTAGAAACGCCTGTGGCAGGTAGTAGGTAAGGGACAGCAGGCCTCAAGAAATTGATTTGGTGAAGCAGAACATGCTGACCAGGGCCTAGCAAAAAGTGAAAATTAAAAGCAAGTTTACTTATGGACCTGGCAGCAGGCAAAATTGGACAAAACAAAAAAGACATACCAGAAGACAAATACAAACGAAAAACAGAACAAAAACAAGCAAAACAGGAGAATTAAGGCAAATGTTGAAGACATTTTCAGAGGCAGCTCTACCACAGCGCCACCACCCACATCAATTAGGGAGTTCATGTTATTATAACTCATTTAAAAGTTTTTTTAGTCTTACTGCATAGTTTAGTTTTAATTTGTGAGGTCACTTTTGTTTGCAGTGGCAAACATTGTGCACTAAATGAAAAAATAAATAAAAATGGTTTGAAAATGAACTGTTACTGGTTATTTCATTTCCATATAATAGTTTACATAGAGTGGTCTTCGACATTTTTATTTAATCTATTTATTTTATTCTATTTTATTTCATTCCACCTAACACTGTAAACTTCCAATAACAGGGTGCGGTATATATTAAATTGATTTTAATTTCAGACTCATTGCCCAATCAAATAGATTTATAAACAATTAACAAAAGTTGTATCGGATGCAGATTGGTGTATCTAAGAGTCTTGAAATGGGGGAGGGTTGTGAAGGTGAAGTGTGGGAGGGACTCAATGATTAGGTGAGGGGGAGTTAGCTCGCAAAATAATGTGGTTTTTATCTACTTCTGCATATCTTTGTGCTTTTGAAGATTTTCAAGGGAGGGGCAGACTTGGAGACTTGGGGATCAAGATTTTTTTTTTGGAAGGGGCTGCCCCCCCCCCCCCCCCGAAAACGGCGCCGCGAGCACCCCTACGGATGGATACGTGCGCCTAACAAAATGACATTATTATTATTATTAAATGGACCAAGGAGTGTGTCATAAATAAATTTCTCATAAGGCCCAATCACACTTGTAATAACGGTCCAGGGCCACCTTACTATGACCTACTTATCAAAACGACTGTTCCCTTCACAGTTAGTATTTTAAGTCAGCTTAGGGTTGCACTGTGATTGTTCAAACCATCAAACTTTTTGATTTGGGGTCAGGTTATTGCATGATATGATTCCGAAAAATTAACCGTTGTCATAGTGACCTTGGCAACCCAGGTTCAGCCTTCAACTTTGGTAACTCAGGAGTCATGTAAGGGTGTAAGGGTATAAAACTGCATAATTATAGGTATGGATCTGCAATAGTTAATTGAAGCATAAAACCATGGATAAACATAGTATAATAGTATAGTATGATATTATATTATGTTTATCCATAATATAGGCTTGGATTGTTACAATTAACCAGGGTGATTTCATAGTGAACTGAATGAAAAACCACCTAGCAAAAAAAGAAGTCCTTTAATTTTAGTTAATATTATATTTCATTTATGATATATCATATTTAATAATTATATTTTGTTTACAGACATAAAAGGAAAACCTACAACAGTTTTCCCGCTGATGAATCCGGAGACTCAGGAAGCTAAAAATCCATGTGACATGAAAGTGACAGTAGTGGGAGTGGGACAAGTCGGAATGGCTTGTGCCTTCAGCCTCATAACACAGGTAAGAATAGTTACATATAAACAAGGAAACGGAAGCCTCTTAAGCAAGGCATTGCGCAGTTAATGTAGTGATGAATTGTGTATGTTTGATCCTTTTAATTGTTTGCGGTTAAATTTTATGAGATAGCTTTTTATTGTTGAACACCCACAAAAGTCTGAAGAAGACTTATAATTTCCAGTGGGGTCCTTCTGGTTGTGATTGGGATGTACACTGAGAGACAGTCCCCTACTCTGAAGAGTGTACTTTGTTTTTTAACATAACATGGTCAATAACACACAGGAGCAACAGCTTAAATGTCTCATCCAAAAGATGGTACACTATCCTACTTGTATTACAGCCCTCCAGCTGAAATACAAGGAGAGCAGAAGGACCAAGAGATCTCCACGGTCCAGCGCACACATAGTGGCTACTACCAGTTTAGCTGACTGAGCTAAGCTGCTGTCAACGGATACCTTTACCCTTTGCACTTTAAACCAACTAATAATATTGCCAATTCTCTCTCAAGTGAGAACACCCCTTGATAACGAAATGAAACATTCAGCCCCTGGATGCATGCTTAACATCCTATCAACATTCTCTATGCTTTCTGTACTGCTTAATCAACATAAGTTCTTTGTCTATAAGAAAGAAGCAATATTTAAAAATAACAGCAAATGATTTTCACAGAGCGTGTGCAGTGAACTTGCCCTTGTGGATGTGATAAAGGACAAGTTAGAGGGAGAGGTGCTTGATCTACAGCATGGCTTGGCATTCCTTAAAGGGGTCAAAATCAGTGGAAGTACAGGTAGGCTTAGCTAGTAGAAAAATAAATTTCCTTGCTAACAACAACAAAATCTTTAATATTCATTGTTCTTTTTAAACAACTCAAAAGTAAAGCCTTGTCCAGGCTATCAAATTTTATTTGACAAAAACATGTGACATGACATCACATCATTGCCATATATAGGCACATCAGGGCTATATATGGGCATACTACACTTTTTTGTCAAAGATAATGTGATAGCCTTTTAAGTTCTCTCTCCGAATATCATGTAATTAAATTAAACAGTAGTAAAGTACAGCATTTTAACATGTAATTAATTTATTTAGTTTAAACTAATCATGATTAATGTTGAACCAGATGAAAGAATTAAGGTATATAGGCAAGACTTTTTTATACCTTCTTCAATAATTGTGATTTTGATTAATAAAATTATAAAATTTTGTTTTTGGCCAATTTGCACACCCTCCGCCATAAAAAATGGAAATTAAAACAAAAATTGTTTAAATTTATCATTCTCCTGAAATATAAAAAAATACATGATACATATATTTCTTCCTAATCATATAAATTTAATGCATTTTTCAATCTCATTATGTCACTGTTTACATTTATCAATAAAATTTCATTTTTCTTTGCCTCTGCTAGATGCTTTTAGCAAAATCATTTTGCTAAATAAGAAAACAAAATTTTATTTATATACTTTTTCCGCCCTCCTCTGACGATTTTTAAAAGATTATGTTCACTAAACAAGGTCTTAAAATGTCTCACCGTAGTAATAATGATAATGATACCAATTCGGGATTTGGGGTAGGCTACAGAGGCATGTGTGCCGTCATCCACTTCAATATCTACACATTTTAGTAATAAAAAAAACTCCCCTTGTTTCTGATAAATTGAAATCCGATAATTGTGGTTAATGTAAGGCTACTACCTACAGCCACTCAGAGGATAGATAAATCAGGATGATTATATTTTCAACAAGCATTAAAAAATGATTACAGGCTCATAAACAATATTGACTTATTCTAGTACATGCTAGGCACTATCACCTGCCACTTTAACTATGTCATAATATTTATTGTGTAGATTATAGTGTGACAGCTGGCTCCAAGCTGTGTATAATCACCGCCGGTGCTCGTCAGAAAGAGGGTGAAAGTCGACTGAATCTTGTACAAAGGAATGCTGATATTTTCAAATGTTAGTAGTCAGAATGTTTAAGCATTCATAACATATATGCCATCTCAAAACCGACATCAGTGACCAAATCTTGAAAATCTATTTTCTAATATATTTATTCTCCACATTATAAGCTTTAAAATGATAGGTCATTTACTGTAATCCACTTACTATTGCCAAAGTTGTGAGTAAAAGTCTTACAGCTTCCCTCTACTAAAGTACACAATACTGGCACATTCTAATGCTAATTACTCAGTTTAACAATTAGCGACAGTATGCTAATTTTGGGATGGCATGCCTCGTATGTGTTAATTTCATTGTAATGTTGTTTCTTTCTGAGTTAATGTAAATTTAGTGATTTCTCTAGGCTTCCTATGATAATGTAATCACATTTCCTTCTCTATGGGCAATGTCGACATTAATAATTTTCTATGTTCGCCCATATTGTATATTTTATCTGTCTATGAGTATGTACGCAGTAGGTCTAATTTACTTATTTATCCAGCCAATCGCAAATTAGCTAGAGACAATGATTGGACATAATTAACCATCCTGTCTCGAGTATTTCATAAATTATTCTGTTTATGTATTCAATCTTTTATTTCTTATTGAAGGTATTGTCCCTCAGTTGGTAAAATACAGTCCAGGCACTTGTATTCTTGTTGTCAGCAATCCAGGTATGTACACCATTCATTTATTTTATTTGAGTTAATTATATCTTCTCAGAGAATATTCTAGCTGGAGAATTCATCCCACTGAGACAAAAGTATTCAATCAGAAAGAAAATATAAGTTTAACCACAAGAAAACCAGAAACCAAAACTGTGGTCTCTTTCACCTCCCCCCCCCCTTTCTCTATGTTTCCCATCCCTTGTTTAGGCTCCCGCCTGTTAGCCTTGCAATGTTAGCTTTAGGCCTAGTTCAGACTAGGTGGATAAACCCGGCTCAACTCACCGGGTTTATGCATGTGCCAGTCTGAACTAGGTGGCTTATCTCAAGCCGGGCTGTGTTCCTATAGTAACTAGGCCTGGCGTGCCACCTTGTTTAACTTTTCTAAGCCGGGTTTAATCGCTGCGGGGAGGGGGGGTCTTGCGTTGACTTCCGGTAAAAAAATGACCAATCAGCATTTAATTATGCAATGTTTCAAAACTTGTTTTCTGGTTACGGTTCATTAATATGCAAATGCTCGCGCCTGGCTAATCCTGCTAGTCTGAACGCCCAGCAAAGTTAAGTCGGGCTTAACCTTGAGCCGGGCTTAACGTAAGCCTGGCTTATCTCCAAGTCTGAATGTAGTAGCCTAACTGCAATCAATCAATCAATCAAACAAATTCAAGGATATTTTTGCCAAATAAGTTCATGAATTTGTGTGTGTAATTTTGTCACCTGCTCTGATGCAACTACTAAATTAGTTTTCTAACCTCCTTAAGGTCTGCCAGTACCTATTTATTTTCCTGGCTGGAAAGTAGAAGGGGACAGTTAAGCTGATGATGTGATTGAAACCATGACCTAAATTTTGAGAGGTTGAATCTCCCAACAGCTCCCTCAATCCAGAAATGTTAACTCAAGATATGTGACTAAATAATGCATAGAATACTTTATAATGTCCCAATGTAGATAACATTCAGCTTATTTTTTTTACAGTTGATATCTTGACTTACGTTACGTGGAAGTTGAGCGGGTTGCCTAGTAACCGAGTGTTCGGAAGTGGCACAAACTTGGACACAGGACGCTTGCGCTTTCTACTTGGCGAGAAACTCAACATTTACCCAACAAGTTGTCATGGATGGATAATCGGAGAACATGGTGACTCAAGCGGTAAGGGTTTTAAACTCTTTTAGTTGCAGCTAGTTAACAGTGCATTGACATTTTACCCTCTTTATACTCCTGAATGTGCCCTTGCCAAAATATACAATTAAGAGACGAACTTCAGAGGTTTAGACAGTCTTTTGTACCCAATTCTATCCATATATTTAATAGACGTACCAAAAGGTGATTATCGTAATTCTCCATCCCTGCTAATTTTTAAATGGAATTTTCTTGCATACTGCCTATATGTATTTTAATATAAACGCAATAATTTTGTACTAGTCTAAACCTGGTCTTAATCATTTTAACATAAATGCAATAATTTTATACTATTTTAATGCATTTTCTGCTCTTTGTCTTTTATCTTCGTCCTGTGTTTTAATATATCTTAATACTTTTTACTGTCTTTTAATGTTTTTATAGTTTATCTTAATGTTCTAACATCACTTAATGCTTATATTTATGTTTGATCGCTTAGCTTCAAAACACATTTCTGTTATATTCATGTATAATAAACTGAATAAAATGAATTGAAATTGAATTGAATTGAATTGAGATTCAAACCCCTGATATTAAATATCAAGGTCTGTCTGTTCTGTTTCCTATTATGAAATTAGTATTTCTTGTCTTTCTTTCAGTGCCAGTATGGTCGTCTGCCAATGTCGCTGGTGTGCCACTTCTGTCACTAAACCCTTTACTCGGAAAGGAGGAGGATGACGACCATTGGTACCAAGTTCACCGACAGGTAGTCAATAGGTAATTTCTGAAGAAAAAATCATTTTCAAGTATTTTTCTTTACGAATATGATCAACTGTATTGCAATTAGCAAAAAATATGAAATTGAAGTTTAACAATATTTCATATAATGAAATTAATATGGAATACGGAATTAATCAAACTTTGCTACCATGAGGGGAAGAAAACAAAGTATCTGCAGCAGCTTATTAATATGCAATATTTATTTTACCATATTATATACAAGTTTTTTTTATTTTATGGAACTCATATGCTTATATTCTTCACCATAGTGCGTATGATGTGATTCGCCTCAAAGGGTACACATCGTGGGCGATTGGTTTAAGCGTCGGCACCTTAGCATCCAGTATCATCCGAAACCAGCGCAGTGTCTTTGCAATCTCCACACTAGTACAGGTGAGATAATTTTTTTCATATTTAATAGCATTTTTTTAGCTATTTCTCCATTACATAAACAAGTCAAACCAGGAGTTGGTTAAACCTTCCAGCTTCCAAGAGCTGATCATTATGGGCCCTCAGCTACATTGAGAGAGAGTGGTAGCACCAGCAAGGATCAGGGAGCTCCGTGTCTTTGGACCAAAAATATTATAATTTTCCGATCCAAAGTTATTGGTTTCTTAATATTGTGATCTAAAGCACAAATTGCCATCCTAAACGCTGAAATCTCTTTAGTAGTGTATTTTCTCATTAATCACTCGAACCGTTGACCCTTACCAGAAACCCTATGTAGCCCCCTTTGGCTTAGACTTTTTAGACCCCTCCCCCTTAGGAAATTTTTATTTTAGGTCATAGGTCGTTCTCGATGTTCATTATTTCTTTATGCTATATTTGAAAACAATTTACAAAAAAATGTATTTAAACTTAATTCTAGAACTACCATGGAATAGAGAATGAAGTTTTCCTGAGTTTACCTTGTATTCTTGGCAAAGACGGAGTGAGTCAGGTAATTCGGCAGAATTTGAACAATCACGAGCTTCACCAGCTACAACAAAGTGCACAGACATTATGGGATGTTCAACAAGGACTGAATTTGGAGAAGAAATAGTCATCACTATTCAGATGAATTATTTCATGTGGAGAATTACTCCAAAGTCAACTCAACACAATTTTAACACACGGTACCCTATTTAAAGATGTAGCATATTTAAGGACATAACACAGAACTGTTGGTTTTAAACTGTGTCCACATATCAAGTTTTATACGAAAACATGTGTGATTTGCACATGGGTGTAGGAGAGAGTTTGCCTGTGAAAGGCTGGTCTTTGTTTTTTTTCAAAAACCAAGATACTGGCTTCAGGGCCAGTTGTGGAGCCACAATCTTCATTTATAATTGTAGGAATGAAAGCGAAAGCATTTGCAAGTTTTCTTAGGGCATCCCATAGCAGCCCCACTTCCACATCCTTTCACAAGCTCCCATGCCTATGTAGTTGCTCATAGTCAAAGTACATCATCATGTATGGATGAATCACAGGCAATAGACTGATTCAGCGATGTTTGTTTACAGCCGGTCACATGACATAACTTGGGTATACCATGGACAACATTGCAGTGCGATTAGTTTGAAAGTATATGGTCGCTAAAACAATCCCCCACAGTTTACTTGAGAAATAAAAGGCAAAAAAAGTGAATACGATTGTTCAGAATAGTGTTTATTAACTTATCTTAGCGTTCTCCTAGCATTGTATGCTTTGAAATTTAAGTAATTCTTCGTAAACCTTAGCTAGCCTTAAAATCGTAGCGTAGTTCGCGGGTCAAAGACATGTGCATACGTAAACAGGCCGTAGATGTGCAGGGACCTAGGTCTAACATTTGTCGAAAAATCTCAGTGTTTGCGGTCATTATATTTTGGAACATTAGCAAACCCTTATGGCAAAATTTTCAATTTCCAATCAATTTGGTAGTTTGCTGGAAATTATGCTTAAAAATGTTATCTTAGATAATGGTAGTGATAATCATTCAACTGTCTTGAAACTTAGCCTACTTGTCTAAATATATAATCTATTAATATCGTGTATTTCAAACAGATGTAGTGTGAACCTCCGTGTCCATACTAAAAAATGCTCAGTGGAAAATATATCTGATTTTCCCATATTTGGACATAATATCGCAAATATCGGGTAGCAGTTGTCAACACAAATCGTCACCCTCAGTCTTTCATCTCGAGGAGTTAAGTTGTATAATGAGAGGTATTTGAGGAGTCATAATGAACAATGTAATTTCCATGTGTATGGATTAAATAAAGAATATGTGGCTAAGACAAGACACACCAGTCACTCGTCACAAAAATCAATTTTTAGTTATTAATACAGGGTTGAGCTATAAAATGGTAACAGAATCATTTAAATCTAACATTTCATTATAAAGTTACAGGAGCTTAAACATACAGCTGTTTAAAGAACAATATTTGAGAAATCAGCCTTCGAATTTTATGATTTTGGGCATTTCTTAGGCAGAAACCATCACCAAATCATACAAAATTGTTGTCTTAACATTATAGATATATATAAGTTAGTTTAGTGCAATAAAATAGATTTTCAAAATTTTGGCCTTCCAGAATGTTTTGGCCATTATCTCCTAACAGGATTTACGATGAGTGACTGGTTTGGCTTGGCTTTGCCACAAATGTCTGTCATTAACCACACCCATTGATAGTGTGGACAGAGTGGAGATAAGGAAAAGCCATGTATATTGTCTTGACTACTGGTAGTCAGGGGCAGATTCGGATCACTCAAAACACCCAATAGGTTATTTCCAGGCATCAAGAAGACAAAAAAAACAAAAAAAAAACTGCCACAGGTATGGGCATTTATACTGCGCCTTTCTCACATTGTTCGGGGAAAAACTCAAGGCAGCATGTTATACAGCATACAGAAATATAATTGAAAGTACTAGGCAAAAGTGACTGCCATTATTCCAGGAATTTTCTTTGGAATATTCTTGACTTTGTGCAATTCATGTGATCCAAGTTTAAAAAAAATTCTGATGTGAATCACTGAATAACAAAAGGGGAAAGAATAAGCAATGGGGTTTGAAAGGCTGAAGTATGTGTTAAGAAAGATAAAGTATGCAAGAGAAAGTCATGGAGTATATCTTAACCCTTTGCTGTGATAATTCACTGTGTTTTTGTAATGTTTAGCAATTAGGTTTAGTATGCTTCAAACCCTCTTGTTTATGTCTTATGTATATTTTGTGTATTATTTTCCTTTTTTGGACTAAGAATTGATAATGGTGCTATAGATAAATTTGCTCATGCATTATGAAGGTCATTTTTTTAAATTAATCATTTTCATATAGCTTTCTCAAAACATTAATTTAAGAAGTGAGCCAATTTTGATGCATATTTTTTGCTTAGTGTTAATATAATCATGCGGCTAGCATTTAGAGTAAATGAAAATTTGCAAGAAATGAGGTAGTAAAGTATGATGTAAGTGGCAATAAATAACTAATAAATTATATAAGATACAACATTTCTGTCTTCATCAGTTCATTTTTGAGTAAATATAAGAGGGTCTGAGGAGTCTGCATTCCCTGTGAAACAAGGAACATTGAAAATGAAATGAATGAGGGAAAGAAGAGTAAAGCTTGGTTCCATACAATTGCTACATGCTATCGCCGACACCTTCCGGTAATGTGGATTGGTCGGTCGAATAAGGGAGCTTTCCCAATTACAGCTACACAATTTAATGATTGCTGTCAAAACAATGTAGTGATAGTGAAGCTATTATAAGAAAATCAGGCTTGGAAAATTTGCAGGAAAAGGGTGTCTATTGCATTTTTAGAAGCATGGTCACATATTAGATATATTCTGAGGATCAAGTGATCCCTCGGAATTGGATTTAAAAGAAGATTGTTTTAAAGACAAATTAGTAACAAACTATTCAAAAAATGTATTCACAATAAAAAGAAAAACTCTTAGAAAAGAAAGACATTTATGCAAATATAATAATTACATTGACGACCAAAAAAATACAAAAGTTAACAAAACAAATACAGTATACAGCACTATGATTTTAAAGATATTCAAAATTGTTTCATGATTAAATACTAGCTTAAAAAATAAGGCACTGAAAAACACCCTTATTTTCAATAAATAGTAGTACCTGTACTTTCTTATTGTCAAATATTGTATTACTGTATTTACATAACTATAAATTTATGCTTGTCTCAAAATTGAGGGGTGGAGCGGTGGTGTTGAGATTTGTCGCTAAAATAAGTTTTTGTGAAATTCTTAAGACATTACACATTGCTAACTAAAAACCACTCCACTCTACCAAAGTCTCTTTTTTTCAATTGTTCCAGAATGTCAAGCATGTTATTCAATAAGCAGGGCATAAGAAAATGTGTGCATGTTCCACACACACAAGTTTACAACGAGAACCACTGTTAAGTGTACTTGCTGTCCGATGTAAAAAGTTAGTGGTTCAAAATAGACCTTTCCACTAAGCCCCACCTCTGTTCTGATAGGTCAATTGTTAAGTTTGATTGACACTCCGGAAGGTCTATTAACTCTCATATTCAAATTTATTCAAATTAATCGGAAGTCTCTGTTATAAAAGTATGGTGGTTGTAAAACATTGTAGAATAATAAAATGCTTTAAAAATTAAATTAAATACTACAAAAGTAAATTGCATATTGTAATAAATATAACCACATAACCTATGCAGTTAGAAAATACATAAAAATTTATTTGGTTAAATAATTTGCTTTTGCTCATTTTAAACCAAAATTTTGTTACAACCTGGATTGAAATTATTTACAAGACTTGATAAGCAAGATTTGATATACAAATAAATGATTCTTTCTCTCAAATCCAACACTTACAGCTATTCAGCCATAAGTATTATTAGTTAATGCAAGTAGAATGTGCAGGCTTGTACAGTAATATATTTACATGTTTCTTTGGGCCAGGATTTGTCTGACAGGGGGCCGAGGTCCCTGACGAAAGCAAAGTGGCCGTGGTTGAGCTTCAATTGAAAGGTTTCGAAAGTGGTCCAGGAGGCCACTTTAATGTAGAAAATACATTAAATTTTTTTTTCTCCCCTTCAATCTTCAATCAATTTAAGCCACAGAATTCTTTTTGGTGGACGAAGGCCCAGGGAATATACCCCTACCCCTGGGTGTGATGCCTCTATTGCTTTATACATTGAAAACCAATAACCATATTTTAAAACGATAATATACCAAGCAGAGGTGACTATTTGACACCCTCATATCGCATATAAATGCTTAGTAGTTAGAAAAAATGTTTAGATTTCATAAATATATACTTGATAGTGCAGTAATTCCAAAAAATAATGGATTAAGTATTACTTTTAAATGCATACTATTAAATTTAGTACAGTAGCAATAAACTGGTACAGTATTGCATTGTACCTGTTCTGAAAAAAAAAAATATTCTTATAAATAGAGAATTTGTTCATTTCAAAATTTTTGAGCACATTTTATTTATTTTTTTTAATAATGTATATTTATAATTAAATCTTATTATTCTCTCACACAATTTTTGTTTTACAAAAAATTTAAATCATGATGCTATACTTTTGAAAGTATTCTCATACCAAGATTTTCTTTTATCTTTTCTGTACAAATATGTCATTTCACAAATAAACAAGGCTTTATACCATTTTATGGTGAAGTACATTTTTTGCAGGTAAAAAAAAATGAAGTTTGAAAATATAAAACTATGATGCACTTTGTTCTACAGTTTCCTCCGATGTTTTTGCTGTGAATGATGTTTCATTGTCTTCCATCTCTTCTTGCATAGACATAACAGTGTTTTCATCGAGTAAATCTGTATGGTTTGAAATATTGACAATGCTTTTCTGTTCCTGCATGATATTGGATTCAAACTGCGCAAAGTTCACGTCCCAGCATTCCTCCGGTTTCATCTTCACACTCGTTAGACTAATCATGTGAGGGCCTGCTGGCTTAGCTTCATGAAACTTACCATCTCGGCCAACAATTGTTCGCAAAACTTTATTCCTTTGCAAGAAAAGTGTGGGAAAGAAAATGAGAACAAAAATGTAATTCAAATATGATTTTAATCTCTTGAAGTAAATTATTTCTGTTTGACATTTTATTGTTTTTTGTACTTAGTATTTGAAGTAAATGCCAAACAAAATGAAATGTATCTGTATAGTGAAATATGATGAAACAATAATAAAAAATCTTAGGTTCGCCATCCCAAAACCAGTCATACTTTCTCTAAATGTTACACTGAGTAATTAGTATATGGTAAGTAGTATTGTATACTTTATTACAGAGAAGCCATAATACTTTGACTCATAACTTTGGCAATAGTGAGTCAATTCCAGTAAATGACCCATCATTTTAAGCTGATAATGTGGAGAATATGAATACATTGAAGTAAACTTTAATTGTTTTGGCCACTGAAGCTGGTTTTGGGATGGCATGCCCCATATATATTTTTAATTTAATATAGCACACTATATGTTTTAGGTGACAAAAATCAGTCAAGTCCACATACATGGATGCAATTGACATCACTATGCCAATGGGTGTGATATGATATCATTATGACCATATATGGGTAGGAATCTGTAAGCAATTATAGAAAGGAAACCAAAGATGCAATTATGTTAATCACAAACTTTTCAATCACTGTGCACCTTGGAATACGCAATGCCAGCACACATAACACTACTTACTTTGTACGGTAACTATAAACCAAGATGATGATTAGTCCAATAAGTACTAAAATGACAAGACCAAGAACGACTGCAACTACAATAATACCACTGTCTTCACTCACAGGTGTCTTCTCATCAGCATCTGAATTTAAATCAACAAATTCACAAGTTCTTTTAATTGATACAAATAAAACTGGACAAACAAGACACAAGATACTTTGATACAAGATACAAGAATATAATAAATTAAAAACACATAATATAATATTTTGTATTTTATAATATAATACATAATAATTAATATATGTTGCATAATAAATTGTGTATTATATTTGTAAACCTGCAGTACTGATATGATAAAACTACAAATACAGTTGGTAATTTTTAAATTAGTAAACATAATATTTAAATATAATATATAAATAATGGTCATCAACCATGGAATATAACAATATATAATATATTAAATAATACATAACACTATTTTTAATGTACATATCGCAATGCCTTGTAATTGTGAGATTGCATTAAAATTTAAAGGCAAATGTATAAATTTAACCACAGTATGTTTCACGTATCATGTGACCAATGTGGACTCGGACTTACTGAGTGTAACAGGTTCCGAGTACAGCGTATCTGCATAGTAGTCTGAGCCATAGTACCCTCTGAATTGATAGCTGGAAAAAAAAAATGCAATTTACTTTAAATACGTCTACTTAAAAGCAATTACCGGTACATCTAAATATAAACTTGATGTTCTTTATAAATTTGATGTTCTTTACAAATTTGATGTTCTTTATAAATGCTTGGTTTATTGTTGTTTTGTGTTTTGCAATGCTTTGTTTATTGTTGTTTTGTTTTTTGCAATGCTTTGTTTATTTTATCTCTCTTTTAAATGCCACCAAAAAAGTGAAACAAAATCAAAGTAAAGTACAAAAATATATGTGGTTACCAAAATTTTGCCAAATTACTCATGTAGGAGACAGGAAAAATTTTGCAATCATGGGAAATGAATGTTTGGAATAAAGGTTTTGGTTTAAAATATAGTTCTTCAAATAATGGGTGAAGAAGTAAGACAGCATACCTTAACAAATAATTCAATAACTTGTTGTCATTAATAGATTATCTACCCATCATTAATATTGAGGGATATTTTTATGCAAAGTCAAGCAAGCCAACAAAAAAAAACATAAAAAATAGCAGTCAAATTGATATGTTAAGCTTTTAGTATCTTACACATATGTTTTTCCTGGCTTCAGAGGTCCATTACAGAAAGTAGTGGCAGGTAGGGAACTGCAGTCTTCAGACCCAATGTTGATGTTAACACCCACTTCACGCCTTTTACGATTACCAGCTAACAACAGAAGTTAAACATAAGACTTTCATTGTGTTTTTGTTTCAATGTCTCTCCAGCGTTGTCAACATCATAATCATTACCATCATCATAATAATCACCATCATCATCCACATCATTATTACCATTAACATCTCATCATCTTCATTATTATTATATTTAAAAAAAATCTAATCTTTCCATTTATATATTGTGCCATTCCAACAACCGTTGCCCGTGGCGCAGTGGACTAGATGTTGCACTTTTCAATAACTTTCTCCTCCCTGAGAGTCGCTTTCATCTGTCCACTACAGGAGCCGAGTGGACCAGTCTACCGGGGTAACCCCCTACTCGTCACGAAAGATGTACTGGGTTCTTTAAAGGGCGCATGAGCATTTGTGTACACTGGGCCTACGGTTTATAGTCCTTATCTAAGAATACTTATTCCACCACCGGAAGTAGGAGCAAAGCGGCCACGAACCCGTGCCATTATTGTTGGCTATGGTTACGGTGCCCCTGCCTTAACCGCTCTGCCATTCGACTCGCTCACTAACCATTAACATCATCACCACCTTCATTATTATTACCATTAACATCATCATCATCTTTCATTATTATTACTGTACCATTAATATCATCATCATCTTCATTATTATTAACATCATCATCATCTTCATTATTATTACCATTAACATCATCATCATCTTTATTATTACCATTAACATCATCATCTTCATTATTATTAACATATTCATCATCTTTATTATTATTACCATTAACATCATCGTCACCTTGAATATATGTAAACAAATTGTTAGATTATGTATCGTAATAAAAATACTTACCATTCCTTACAATGCTATAATTAAGAGGCTCACTGGTTTGATATCGTGGCGTGGGATTGGTGTTTATTGCCTGGCCCCATGTAGGCAGCTCTGCATTTTGTGGGTGACCAGTTTCACCTCCAATTGAATTACCAATTGCTAAAAGAGAAAAAAATAAATTCAATGGGTTTTACCAGTAGGTCACAGCTTGCAGATAATAGAATACTGTCTATATTATTAGCACTTGTAACACTGCCAGTGGAATTTTTTTCAGACAATAAAATGAATCTTGAATCTTGAATCATAAATAAATAAATTCATTCATTCTTTCCTTTATCAGTACATTTGTATTGAAAGTAAATTTCAGATTAAAGAAAGAATACATTCATTCATTCATTGTAATTTTCTATAATAATCTGTACATCTTTAAAAGTGAACGGGACTCCACTTCCTAAGATTAAAATTTCATATAACAAACTTTCGGTACACCATGTGTAAATAAAATAAAAGAATATGGTTTTTATTAAGGTAAAAACCACTGGTTGGTTGTTTACACATGGTGTACCGAAAGTTTGTTATATGTTTATTGATACTCGCCATGCAAACTTTCAAGAAATATTAAAATTTCAATTATGAAAAGAATTCTTTCTATTAATCCTGTTTTAATAACATATTATCCAAATCAATTTAAAAAAATGATGTTTTTAACTACAAAGAAGAAACTAATGTAAATAAAAGCAAATTCTACCTTGTTTTTCAGCAACAATTACTACAAAGGTAGAGATTGGTCCATTATCTTCCGAAAACAGAAGATCATTAATAGTAACAGTAAAAGAAGAATTTGTAATAGCACTATCTGGGACCAATTCTGGTTTCACTTCACTTGGCTGTGGCTCTTTGGGGGGAAAAAATTACATCATCACATTTACATAATAGTCAAGATTCACAGATACAGGTAATAATATAAATGTTAACATTTCAATTGCCTTGGCAAGCTCATGTATACCCTCAACATGGGCATACGCATAGATTGTGTCTTTAACCACATCCAACATGCTGACCTCAGGAATGAATCGAGCCAGGCTGGAATCATGTGTGAACAGGAAGGTGTGAGCACAAGTGTGAACACGACCAAAATTGTATGTGAAATGAAGAAAGTAGAAATTAAACTAAATATGAAGTTGGAAAAGAAGAACTTACCATTTGGTGGAACAATAACTGATGCAGAAAATGGATCTCCAAAATTATCTGCATTTTTAGCACTGACCTATAATTTTCATAAGAATATTTTAAGAAATAATACCATTACAGAAATGAAATTTGTCTCCAAACAGGTTAAAATTGGTCAGTAATGATATTTATAATTTTTGGCATAAAGTGAGTTGCCCAAATGCACGACTCAATAACTGGTCCATGGCAATGTGAGGATCAAGTAGTCAGAATAATGGTATTATGCCCGTGAATGGTTTTATTGATTGTTGTTAAAACAATTTATCTTGGTTGACATGTTTAATTGTATACTTCTTTCATATAAAAGTTTGCATTCGCAAAAAGTAGGCACAACAAAAATGAAATGCAGCTTAATGTACAGTAGCCTACTTTTAGATGGATAGCGTGCTGTTTTAATACTAAACAATTAATTTTACGGACAAAACACTAACATCTGAAATAATGTTCTACCTATGGTTCAATTTACTTACAACATATGTGTAGTTGTAGCCAGGTAACAGATCTTCAAAGACAATAAGTGATCGGTCACTAACATGAGTTAATTTGAAATTATTATCATTGGGCAATCCCTGTAAGAAAAATAATTAATTTAATAATTAATATATCCGGATCGAAGATCAGATAAGTTAAAGAACATTACAATATATATATATATATTGTAATGTTCTTTAACTTATCTGATCTTCGATCCGGCAGTGGGTGTTATTAAGAGATGAAAGAACAAGAAAAGAATAAAAAACTATGTTATATTCTCTATCAAGAAAGTCAGACTCTTGTATTAATGATTATGCTCACAGTATGAAGTAACCAATACACTGCACTCCAGATATCACAAGTGCAGTAACTCTTATCTTAACCCGTTTCCCGTACAAGTACACACGTTCCATCTCTCACCTCTTCTCATGGAAGGACCATGACCACCTTGACAGCAGCAGTAGCGCTGGCAGCCAAGGGAGAAGGGAATGATTTATTCCCAGACTAGCACTTATATAGGGACACCATCAGCCAAGCAGACTGACGGACCAATTACTAAGTAATTCAGGGCTGTGTCCCATTAATATAATGATGTTACTATGTGCTTCACGTATGTATCACTGTAAACACAGAGCAAGATTTGACCAGCTAAGGGAAAACCTTACATTTTTAAGCATTTAGATTTTGCTCTAGCAACCTAACTAATCAAAAATCAACATCCTCACTGTTTCTGATTTTTGCAGCTTATGAAAGAAATAATACTGAAAAACAATTTTGCCAAATATCACTAAATCTAATGGAACAGTATAAAATCAATTTTAAATATAAACAAACTTATTAAAGTACAGTACTGACTTAAGAATCTTTGAAAGCTGTTTTCAATCAAAAGTCAAATATTCATAAATTAATAGTTAATAGTTGAATATATAATTGTACAGGAATCAATATGATATTTACAGCTTCCACCCAAGCCTACTATAATGCTCCTACTGCAGGGGTGGAATCGAGGGGGCCAACCCAACCAAACACCTTTAATTTTGAAATATTATGAAAACATGGAGAACCATAAAATTACATTTATATATCCAATTCAGGGAGTGCCATTTTCTGAAATCTAGAAGCGCCATATCTATACAATTTTCGACCTCAATGTAACCACAGTGGGACTGAGGTAGTCTGGACCCAGCCTGCATCTTTAAAATTCCTTCCTTAACCCCTCTCCTGCCCAACCCCTCTACTTTATTTCCTGGATCTGCCACTGTGATACAGTATAATTAAATATATTCCATACCCTTCAGTCCTCTACTGTTCTTAATTTTTAGCTCCAGTGAGGAGCTAAACAAAACACTTGGCTGATTGATTAAATATATCCTTTTTGTATGGGCAATTAATAGATCTTTTTTGTATGGGCGGCTGTTAGGGTGAATATGCTCTTATACTGCCCTCATTGGAGCTTTCAAGAATATGAAAACTTGTTAAGTAATATCCAACTCACTGGAAATTGTCCAATCTGGTTGACTGAGTAACCCTCTAGAACGCCAAATACTTGCAGCGGAGGGTAAAAAATAACAATTGCTTGCAATTCTGCTAGCGTCACCTTCATGTCTTGCACTGGTCCTGGTACTGTATAAAAAAATATTGCACAATCTATGAGATAATCATCAACATTATTTATACAACATGCTGAAAATTATCAAATTTATAAAATAATGCATTAATTTTTTCATGATTATCAGCAAATTTATAAATGAATGTGTATAAATTTTCTTCATTGTATACAAATAATATTGACTATTTGCATACAAAGATAAGGGCGGATGAACTCCTTGGAGCCAACGGCCAACCATGCCTTAGTTTAAGGAGTAGGTTCATAAAATAACTTCAACTTTCTTTTTTCTCAAAATGTCCAACTCAAAGAGCTCAATCACCAAGCACATAGAGGCTTTTTCGCATGATGCGCTCTACAAATCCAACTATTATTATTATTTTTAATATTCGCATACTACCTTATTTGGACACAACTTAATTTGTATACTTACTACTTAATTTACATACTAGTTAATTTGCATACAATGATTTTTATACTCACTTCCTTGTAAGGTTGTGATGGTCTCTGTAATGCCAACACTGACTTCTGACCCAGCCAAGGAGTACAATGTTACATTATAATGTGTGAATGGTTGTAAGTTCTTAAATACATAATATTGTGCTAGGCTGTTCAGATCTGGTACTTCCACATGCAGGGGTTCCAGAGCAATCCTGTACGCATCCACGTTTCCCTCAACAGAATCCCAGTACACATTAAAACCAAACATGGTCACCTGACTGATACGAATATTTTGAGGCGGTAATGGTTCTAAAAAATAGAATCAACAGTACATTTTTTATGTTTCATTAATTGTAAAAATCACAAATACAACATATAATATTGTAATTAAAATGACCACAATCACCTCCCTATCCTCTTTGTGCAATGAGGCACATAAGGCCACCACAACCACAATAGCAACTATAAAATATTATATACATACATAGATTCTAGGCATCTTATTGGTTAAGAAGCAGGCAACAGAAAGTACTATTCCCCTGAAAAAGTACTATGATCCCCTGAAAAATAGTACTTTTTTGCTCTGCCGTATGATGTGCAAACTCTAGGCCAACTTAACATCGTGCTGACGGTAAAGGGACTACAACGAAAGAGATTGGCCCTTGACCGCACCACAGATCAGCGAGTAGACGATAAACATATGGAGGCTAGTCAGTTTGAGGTCCTGGATGAAGAGGAGGACTAGCCTAGGCCTAGCATTACTTCTTGATGAAGCCATTAGCAAAAGCAACAAAAGACAAGTTAAATACGTCTTGTCAATATTCAACAATATTATGGGTGCTGTTGAAATTGAGGAAATGAGCAAGAGCTAGACACATCTTTGATCACTTACTAGTAGGCCTCTCTAGCTAGTCTACACTAGGTAGGCAGGTCATTCCATAATTTTGGAGCAGCAACAGCAAATGTTCTTTCACCATACGTTTTCAGTCTGCAAGGATGTAAACACAGAATCGACAAACTTGTTGTTGACCTCAGGGACCGTATGCATGTCCTTGATCGAAGTTTGATCAGATCGGAGATGTTGGTGATGAGTTTTAAACATCCAATTTGATTAATTGCATTATTTAAGTATGTATTTTACTTCGTTTGATTTACAAAGTTTGAAGAAGCCACTTTTGTATATAAATCGCTGTGTGTGGAGAAGCCATTACTGACTTCAGAATTAAAATTAATAATACCATGGTAAAAACATACAAATATAAATGTGCAGGAGATGAATTAGTTTCCAGTAAGTTTTTCTGGTTCGCGTAAGTGCAGGAAATCGTTAACTGCATGTGACTTATGACCCCCTTTTATTCCATTACGCAGCAGGAATTGCTGTTCTACATATTTTATTAATCATAAATCAATATATTATAATTTTATTTATTATATGTTAATAAAACATGGGAAATCAAATCAAACTTACTTGTCGTTGCCGTGAAGTTGATAGGCTTGCTCTCAATTCCATTATTGATGGCAACTAGTTGGATGAAATAATCCATGCCGGGCTTAAGATCTTGCAGTTGAATATAGAACACAGACTCTGAAGCTGTTCGGTCATGCGTGACGACTGTGTCATTCAATGCAGTTGAACTAGCAGACACCATGTAGTCGCATGAAGTACAATCCTGATCATGAACATACAGGGTGATTGTTGCTGATTCTATTGAAAAGATTTGAGCAATTTCCGGAGGTTCTGGAGCTGAATTTATTAAGAAGTAGAAGCAATTTAAATTAATATAAAATCACAATATTATTTTATGTATAAAAATTGCAGATTATTATTAGTAATTTTACTTTACCGTAGTTCCTCGGTATAAGCACACCTTGTGTATCAGCCTACCCTCTACTTTATGCACAATTTCTCAGAGGAAAACATTAATTATTGGCTTTGAATTAGGCATACAGTGCCTACCTACCCCTTTTTGTTCAAGGGGGTAGGATTATTCCAGAGGAACTACAGTTATGTATATGATAGTTGTATGTATGGTTATCGATGATTAATTTCAAAGAGGTTCATACAATCTTCTGCCATATTAAACTACTGGTAGCTGCATAATCAATCTCCAAATCAATATAGTGTCATCATGCTGAATGCGTATGGACATGGTCCATGATGCTAGCCATTGTAAGTAGCACTTAAGTAGCTTCATATTCATATCACTAACTGCTAAATGGCCATGCCACAAAGAATACCGACCTACGGGGTGAACCGCTTTTAGTTAAATCCTTGTACTTGTCAGTAACAGACCATGACTCTAGTAATGAAATGATTAAGGTGTAGTTTTAATCATTATCACCATACCTGTATATATATGAAGAATTTGTTGCTGAGTGTCTTGGAATCCATCTCTCGTTGTATGTATCATAAAAAAGTAAGAACTACCGGATGTAAAGCCACTGAAAATAGCCTGTGGCGTATCATTAACGGTACGGATATACGTCTGACCACAAGACAGACAGGACAATGTTACCGTGTCATATAGGCCTAAAGGCGGTGTCCACGAAAGACTCACTGAGCTGCTGTTAACTTTATATGTAATGTCTGTTGCCATTGCTAAGTCTGTTGGGGTAAAACAAAATGATTGTACATATTTTGTTTTTTTTGCATAGGTTATTAGAAATACTGACAAAGGCCTGAGCAAGCTGCTCCACTCTCTGCACATTAATAAGAGAAAAAAAATTATACATGGATTTAATTTAAGAAAAATAATAATTATACCCCTCTATTGAAGGGGATACTTTTTTCGGCCACATAATTGATGGAATTATATCTTTTTTTTTAGACATTTCATTTCTTTTGGCATGAGCACCAAGGATATGCCAATCAGTGAACTTAATCACCATCCTACGTGGCATATCCATTGAACAACAGGGGACTGAATGGACCAGTACACCGAAGTAACCCCCTAACCCTAGGATATACTAGGTTCTTTGAAGTGCACACGAGCCAAGTGCGTACACTGGGCCTACGGTTTAAAGTCCTTATCCGAGAAGACACCACCAGAACCATTGATGAGTGAGCCTATGGAACACATCTTGATCCCCTTGGGAGAACAGTTCCACGAGTGGCTAGAATCAGCACTCAGTATTACATCCTACCAAGTAGGCTTACCCACTTATAATACCCCTGGGTGGAGAGAGACAAACGTAGATAAAGTGCCTTGTCCATGGACACAAGTGACTTGCACAGCGAGGGTTTCGAACCCCGACCTCAAGGTTGAGAGTTTGAGCCACAATCGTTGCACCAACCACTCATACAAGATGATTCAAACCTGGACTTCAATTGCCCAAATTGTTGAAAAATCTGCTACACATATCATCCCTTAACTACATAACCTAGGCTTCTTAAAATATAAAAATACATTTGCGTGTGCATATTGATACATACTTGTCTTTTGCTCAATCATAGCTGGTGCGCTGTGAAGCCTATTCACTTCAGCCACAACGTTTATAGTATAGTGTGTGCCGGGCTGGAGAGCTTCAAATCGCATTGTAAAAGTCGTCTCAGAACTTCCAGGTTCGTATACAACTGGACCTACCATTTCTCCTAACTCGGATATAGCCTGCCCTCTATATGTGCAGCTTGTGCATGAGGTATCAGTCAGAGACAAGGCAATGAAATCAAGTCCAATATCATCAGTATTTGATATGGAGGGTGCATCTGGAACTAAAGGTAAGGAAGTTATACATGGATAATAAATCATCATTTGCTAAATAGATCAATAGATAATAGAAGAGTAGATAAGTCAATATATATATAGATATACATATCATCAATCAATTGTATGATAGACTTTTGATCAATATAGATAATTCAGACAATGCTGGCGTATTACATTTTATCTATCTATATATTTATCTATAAACTTGGAAATACGCTGAAGATTTTACAATTGTTGAGAATGTCGCTTCAGCTTTCTTAATTATTTGTGAAATTTTCCAATCTTCTGCAGTCTTGTTCACAAACATCACTGTTGTTGTGCAAATCATGGAAGACAGAACCAAACAATCCGCAAGAAACCAAAAGCAACACAAATTTAAGAGCAATAAACCAAGATTTAATTAAAGAAAAGTCAGACATGTTTCTTCTGTATCACACCATCAGAGAGAAAAATAACAACATAACACAAAAACCTTCACTACTAATATACTATGCTATACATAATGCTAGATTGAACTGCAGGTAGTTTAAATTATCTTAGATTTTATCAAACTAAAATGAAAGAAATGAATCAGGAAGAATTTACTTACTTGTTTGAATAAACAAAAGAATTTGTGTTGAAATACTTTGTCCATCTAAAAATGTCTCGACTGAGATTAAATGTGAGCTTCCAGGTAAAAGGTCAGTGAATATGCAAACAGGAAGATTGGTGGCATAGACATCAATGGTCTTTACAGAGCAACTACTGCAAATAAATCTCACCAAAGTGTAGGTGTCTATAGGGGGCGTCCACGTTATGGTAATGGTCGTCTCGTTTGCATCGTGCGCAATATCAGTAGCAGACGTTATATCCCCTATGAATGACAAGCACAAGCTAAGTAGCAGTGATACATAACATATGACAATGTTTAATACTGTCAGCGAATATTTATACATACTTGACTTGGTTAAACAAACTGAGCCTAAATGTATCTGCAACTGACTGTGAGGCACACACATTCTTGAAACAAGAAAGTTGTAGATGATTGAGCTATTATATGTATATATAAGATGTGTATAAGAGACAGGTGCGTACACTGGGCCTACGGTTTAAAGTCCTTATCCG